AAGAAAATTAAGTCAGACTTTTTGTATTGGCCCATATTTGAGTCAGATGAAGAATCTATGTGCCAAGCTTTAAATGTTTGAGTAAACAGTAAAAACCCCTTCATACAAGAGGAGAGCAACTATGCGGCTCTCTGGCTCCCTAACACAGAAGTGTTAGGGAGTGTTCGTGCTTAAAAAAAATAGATATAAGAACTCTGATGATACACTCCCACCATATGTGCCGCCCCCTCCTACGGCTCCATTAGATCAGGCACAAGGGGGAGAGACTGGGCCACTATACCTTAGAAAACAGAGACATTCCTCATCTGAAGAAAAAGATAACATTCTGCAGGGTCCAGTAACCCAGAGTAGAGCCCACAAGTTATACTCCCTGAGAGAAGTGTCTATAAGAATAATAAACCAACAAGAGGGTGGGCAGGCACCCAGTATAGGATATGTGGCAGTCCCTTTAAACTCCATGGATGTCCGCAAATTTAAAAAGGAAATGGGACATCTTTTAGAAGACCCTCTCGGGGTAGCAGTAAGAGTAGATCAATTCCTAAGACCAAATATCTAGACCTGGAACAAGCTACAATCCATTTTAAGAATACTCTTTACAGCAGAAGAGAGACGCATAATTCAAACTGCAGGCATGCATATCTGAGAAAATCAACACCCACAGGGTCCCATGGGTGATATAAAATGGCTGCTACAGCAGCCCAATTAGAACAATCAAAATCCACAAGATCAAGCTAACATGCAAGACCTTAGAAACATCATAGTGCAAAGAGTGAAAGAAGCAGTGCCTAGAAGGCAAAATATGAATGAAGCCTTTAATGATAGTAAAAAAAAAAAAAAAATGAAGACCCTACCACCTAATTAGAAAAATTAAAAAGAAATTTGCAATTGTATTCTGAGATAGATCCTGACAACCCGGCGAGCCAAACCCTCTTAAAATTTCAGTTTGTGTCTCGGGGATGGCCTAATATCCAAAAGAAATTAGAAAAACTAGACGATTAGCAAAACAGAGGGCTGGATGAATTATTAAGAAAAGCACAGAGGGTATATGTAAGAAAAGATGACAAAAGTCATAAAAAACAGGTTAGAATAATAGTAGCAGCAATACGGAGAAAAAAAAAGAAAAACCAAATTTGAGTACACAACCAAAACAACAGTCTTCGAGACCATCTAGAAGCCCTGAAGTGCAAAAGAAAAGCAATGTAGTCTGTTATTACTACCAGAAAAAGAAACATTTGAAAAAGAATTACAAGCAAAAAATAGCAGATGAGAAAATGTTTGCTGAGGATGAAGAGTGTCAGAAACTCTATTTGCTAGAGTCACATAAGATCGATAAGCCCTTGATAAAATTAAAAGTAAGACCCCAGCAACAAGAATTTGAGTTCCTCATGGACTCAGGAGCAGAACGATCAACCATTCAATCCCTGCCACTTGGTTGCAAAATTTCTAAAGACACAATACAAGTAATTGAAGCAAAGAGAAAACCTTTTAGAGTACCTATTATTAAAGATGTAATATCAAAAACATCATCCAAATTAGAGATAGGATCATTACTGTTATTACCAGAAGCTGAATTTAACTTATTAAGACAAAATTTAATGATTAAATTAAGTATCCAGGTAAAGGGGAATGGGTTACAGATTAAAATATACTCGCTGTCTGTTCAGGATGAGCAGCAAATTAACCCACAAGTATAGTATACACCGGACACCATGGGTAAACTTAATATGGAACCATTTATAGTCACCCTTAAGGACCCAGAGATGCCAGTTAAAATAAAGCAATATCCAATATCTGAAAAAGACAGGAGGGGTCTGCAACCAAAAATAAAATGGCTATTAAAGCAAAGTATCCTAGAATCATGTATGTCTCCCTATAACACACCAATTCTGCCAGTTAAGAAACCAGACAGCAGTTACAGATTAATCCATAACTTAAGAGAAATAAATAAAAAGGCCGTTGAATGGTTCCCAATAGTAGCTAACCCCTATACTATCTTAAGCCAGCTAAAACCACATAATACATAATACAGTGTAATAGATTTACAAGATGCCTTTTAGGCCTGCCCGCTTGATGTAACCGGCAGAGATTACTTTACCTTTGAGTAAAAAACGACCCAGAAACGCGTATTAAACAACAACTCCAGTAGACTGTGCTGCCTCAAGGATTTACAGAGTCCCCCAATCTATTTAGTCAAACACTAAGTAAAATCTTACAAAATTATCAACCAAGACCTGCTGTAAAATTAATCCAATATGTAAACGACCTCCTCATAGCTAAACAACAAGAAGAAAATATTCAGCAAAAGAGTATTAAATTATTAAATTTTTTAAGCTCTCAAGAGTTAAAAATATCTAAATCTAAATTACAATTTACTAAACAAAAAGTAAAATACTTAAGACACCGATTAATAAATAAAACTAAGAAACTAGACCCCAGCAGAGTCCAGAGTATATTAGATATGCCCCCTCCGAGAACTAAAAAGCAAATCTGACAATTATTAAGACTGTTCAGATATTGCAAACAATAGATTTTAGGCTGTAGCAAAAAAGTAAAATTTCTATACGAAAAATTTACTCATAATAGTCTGCTAAAATAAACAAAGCAGGATGATGAAGCTTTCCAAAATTTAAAACAAGAATTAATCAATACTCCTGCACTAAGCCTCCCAGATTTAACCAGACCTTTTTGCCTCTTCATAAACATAAATAAAAGAACAGCATATAGAATACATACCCAGG